AGCAGCAGCAGTGGTAGCAGTAGTAGTAGTAGTAGTAGTAGTAGTAGTAGTAGTCGTAGTAGTGGGAGTAGGAGTAGTAGCAGTCGTAGTAGTAGTAGTAGTAGTAGTAGTAGTAGCAGTAGTAGTAGTAAGAGTAGTAGTAGTAGTAGTAGTAGTAGTAGTAGTAGTAGCAACAATAGCAGTAGCAGTAGCAGTAGTAGCAGCAGTAGCAGCAGCAGTAGTAGTAGTAGCAGTAGTAGTGGTAGTAGCAGTAGTAGTAATAGAGGTAGAAGTAGTATACTTACTGCGGCGACGACGGCAGCTGCTAGTGCTACTACTAATTCCACCACCACCACCACCAGCACAACCACGACCACCAACGCCACCACCACCACCACTACGACTACCACTACCACTGCCACCACAACCACCACTACTAATACTACTACTGCTACTACCACTAGTGCTAGTACTGGTACTAGTACTTGTAGTAGAACCAAAGTACTAGTAGTAGCACTAGTAGTAGTAGTAGTAGTAGTAGTAGTAGTACTACCACTACTACTGCTATTACTACTACTACTACTACTACTACTACTACTACTACTACTACTCTCACTGCAGGTACAGGTACTTCTGCTGTTGGTGACGGCCATGCTGATGATGCGGGTTGTCATGAACACGAGGACCAGAGTTTGGATAACGACAGTCATCCACTACGACTACGAACGACATCAGCAAACACGAAGATGCTGTCGTAGTTACATAGCAAAAGCAGGGATCGACAGCCACGGACGGGATGTGGCACGATGCTGCCCTAACAACAATGACATAATGAAGTCGTGACTGCGGTGACCATCACCATCCTCACCATCACCAGTGACTACACCAACACCTAGGACCTGGCACTGACTGTAGGGTTTGGGGTTTAGGGTTTAGGGGTTTAGGTATATATGGCTATCATGGCACAGCTTTAGCGCCATTTGTTGCGTGCTGCATTAGGTTTTGGGCTGCTGATTCCATCCTACGTCCGACATCGGGCCTGCAGTAATGTTATCACTTCTACGGATGACCGAGGCTTGCAGTCGAACTTAGCTTTCCGGATTGAAGAATAACTCGGCCCGCAAATTCCACCCACAGATTGTCTACTAGAGCCAGTGACCTTAACACTCCTACTAGTCCTACTCCTACTACTACTACTACTACTACTACTACTACTACAGTAGTAGGAAAGCTCGGTCCCTGGCCAAGCCATGGAGGCGAACTTCGTTTAGTGTTCCTTGGTTGATAAGGAAAGTTGGTCAGTGGGAGGCCAATCACAATAACAACAATACGACTACTAACAACACTAGTAGTAACAATGATAAGAGTAATTATTTTTAGTAGTAGTAATTGTGGTTTAGACAGCTTGTTGAATGCATGTTAAATTCACTATAAAACACATATCGAGTACAAGCCTACTTCTGGCCTGAGAGCATGTTGTTTTGATACCTACCTACATGCAGGAGGGGCGCGGGAGAGACAGGGAGAGCGCGAAACGGAGAGACAGAAAGGCAGCACAACAATACCAGGAAGATGTACAGAGGCGACACAGAGTCTGGAGGAGAGAGAACTAACAGCAATGTGCGCAGACTCGAAGGTAGAGCCATGGTGGAGAGACAAAGCGAATGCAAAGACAGGCAACCAAGAAAGAATTAGCCAGATAACAAGCAAAGACATGACGGGCAGACAGAGGCGAAGTGGAAACTTGAATGCTTTTTGTTGCTGATGTATCACACTCTGCATGTGTGTATCATGAACCTGCATGCCACACAACTAATATACACATAGACCCACAGGCAAATACAAATACAAGCAAGCTGCACACAAACACACTTGCCATACATACATGCATGTATACATACCTTCCTACATACGTACATACATACATACATACATACATACATACATGCAAGCATACACATATCCATCCATCCATACATACATACATACATGCATGCATGCATACATGTATACATGCATACATGCATACATGCATACATGCATGCATGCATATGTATATATATATATATATATATTTATTTATTTATTTATGTATATACATGTGCGTGTGTGTGTCCGGATTGAGGGTTTAGGGTGCGAGTGTGTAGGCTGTTGCGCT